TTTTACAAAATGAATTACAAGCCCTGCTAGAGTATGTTCCTGTAAATATTAGAATGCAGATGTACTATCAGCACGATGGAGCTCCTGCACATGTCGCTCGTCAGGTCAAGCAACATTTGGACGAATGTTTTCCAAGGCGTTGGATTGGTCGTGGAGGTCCTATTAATTGGCCTGCAAGATCTCCAGACCTCACACCATTAGATTTTTGTTTATGGGGCTGGATGAAAAATGAAGTCTACAAAATAAAAGTGGACACACGGGATGCATTAATTAGACGAATTGAGAATACTGCAGACCATATTAAAGAAGAAAGAAATGAATCAATTAGGAGAGCAACAAACGCTCTTCGTAGACGAAGCAGAAAATGTTTAGAAGTCAATGGCGGTATTTTTGAACATTTATTGAAAGAACGCTATGATTAAGAGAATTTTTATGTGTAAATTTTTTTATTTGTTAATAGGCTATAACTTGAAAACAAATGAAAATCGGATAAGAACATATGAGTTTTTACATTATTTTCAGTCCTAGAGTTTGGTGCGCTCCTCCCGACTCACCCTGTATATAAAAAATGATTTTAAACTTATATTAATAATTGTAATGACACACCCCAAACTTTGTACTAAAGGTAAGCCAAATACATAATTAAAAAAATGTTAACTATAAAAAAAAATTCTTGTAGAACTGTTTTTGATGTTTAAAAAAACAAGGCATTAATGCCAAAAAAAAAATAATATTTACCAATAATAAAAAAAACTACTGAAGAAGGCACTGATCAGTGCCGAAAGCTTTACCCACACATACACGAGTTTCATTTCTCACTAGCACCTAAAACCCAAGAACTACAAAGAAAAAAATATAAATTACTTTTAATGAGTGTGGGAAATGTTAAGTTTATTGACTCTCTTAACAATTTTCCCATGCCTTTTTTAAATTACCTAAAGCTTTTGGGCTCAAAAAAATGTAAAGAATGGTTATTTTTCCCACTTATTTAACCCTAGAACACGGGTCATTCGTAAATTTTACGAAGCTCGTACAACATCGTGTTTTTTCACCACTTCTGGTTATTGTATCGGATCGCCCGACTGAGACCTTCCTGTCTAGTATTAAGCTAGACATTAAGCGGTCGTTCTGATTTCCGACTCTTAAAATCACTTTTCGACGATAGGTTCGTAAAATTTACGAAACTCCTGTGTTTACGTATTTTTTTATATTCAACTTGATTTTTTAACTATAGTTTTTTTAGTGTTTACTAAAATAATTTTGAGGTAAATTATATTCATATTTTTTTTATTTTGATATAAGTATATTTATAGTATTTTTTTTAGATGTCAAATAAAAAAAAAATTTGACCCAAAAAGAACTGGAGGAAGAAGCGGAACGTATCATCCAAGGTGGTGAAAGTGATCCAGAGCCATTTGAAGATAGTGGCAATGATTGGGAAGAGGATAATGTAGAAGTAGAATCATGTGGCTCCGATAGTGAAGACGATAAAGATAATTCGGCTGATACTCTCGACCAACAAGAACTTAGCCCAGTTCAATCTGAAGAAGAAATAGAACCTATTTTAGATGAAGATGCTATTCCTTTATCACAAGTACGTACTAAATCAAAATATGTAATAAGTTTCAAAACAAAAAGTCTAACAGGCAACAAGTTGGAGTTCAAACTGTCACTTCAGAAAGCCCTTGAAGTGCAACAACAAATCAATACGATACTTCTGGATGCCAGACTAAGTGAACTACGAAATTCTGAAGTTTCTTTTAGACCAATAGAGAATTCCACCCCGTCAATCACATACTCAAATACACATTTTACGGCAATGCAGAGTTGCAGCAAGTCCTCCACTCCTGAAACACCCACTTCTTTTGAAAATTATGGCGTACAGATGCAAGAGCAAAATCGGCCAGCACAAAAAGAAAAACAACTAACGACATTCTTTGCAAATTGGAATGACCAGCAATTCCAGTAAAATTATTTTGATATGTTTTTACGATTAATTTTTAAGTTCTATATAAAAACAGTATTTCTTTGGCATTGGTAATTTGTTTCCCATTAAAAAATATTATACTAAATATATTTTTTTTTTTCATGAAATATTACCTGTATGAAATCCCCCAAAGCAAAGTAGATGGCATCTAAGACTTCCACCAGGAACGTACTAATTGTGTTTTTTGAAATTCGGTATAAATACTGAAATGATGTCATTGAATCTTCAGATCCTAGGTACCGAAGTACTACTTGCAATTTTACTGCTGCTGGAATCGCATTTCTCATAGTTGTATTTTGTTTTTGTAAAAATTGGTGCAACCTTAAAAATTATTATACTACAGGTTGGTATGCCAACAGAAAGTTTAATATAAAAATATAAATATTATCGTAATAAAAAAATTAGGCTCACCTTCTCCAAAAGTTCGTTAAACATGCCCTAGTCAATTCGCAAGAAATTGCAAAAAGACTTGGGGTCCTCCAATTGCAATTCCCTCAGCAGTGTTCCTGATACACCTAATGTGTTCCTACGTCTAATCCACTTTCTTACCCACACTCGCCTTTTTAATTTTTGACTCAACTTCAAATTAATTAGTTCCTCTAATACATCCCCTACTGCAGTTGAGTTCCGACATTTCTGATAATAGTATGTCGCAACCCAAGTGTTGGTACGTGTGACCTAGTGTCATAACGTCGAATGTCAAAAGCTTTCACAGCATTTGATACCACGACATGAATGTCACCGTCTAAACGAGCCTTTAATAATTAAAAATTTGGCACGAAATACAAGTATTTCCTTTTTAATTTTTTAATTAAATAATATAAATGTATTAAGCACAATGATAGACGAAGCCAGGGTCTATAGATAATAGGAAACAGGAATCACAGTAATATTTGTAAATATCTATTAGAATGTAACAAATAAATTTGCAACATCAGTTGAAGTAATTTAGTAATAAGATAATATATAGTATAATGTAAAAGGATGTTGGCGCTGATCAATCAGAGGACAGCAGGGGTTTAATATTAGGTACCCTGTCTTGATAGAGCACACAAAGTGTGAGAATAGGGACTCCAACCGCCACCTCAAATTAAGACAGAACTGAATAAATAATGTTAAATGTTTTTAATCTCTATGTAAACAGTAGTATTTCTGTACATTTAGGAGAATAAAATGTTAACTGTCATTAATTGTTTTGTAAATGTACATAATTCTGTATTATAAAGTGGAAAAGAAAATGTAACAAAATAAAATAAAGATCTCATCCTACAAATTCCATGGTAACCTTACCTATAACAAACCTAGGACTGTGGACCGTGATTGCTAGTCACGGGGGTGTTGCCCCCTTTTCCTTTTTTGTATCTAATTTGTTAGATAGGGGATAAACCTAATAATTAGGGATGCAATTACCCAAATAATATTGGATTTCACTATGTCTGGGAAGATCAAATACAAAGCGATCACAGGCTTATCGCGATGAGCTATAAACTAGAGAACACAGAAGTTTCACTATCTGACCACCCTCCATTCTAGGTAAGTCTCTTTGAATTTGGAACAGTATAAAAACCTCCGATCACTTTTGTTATGCATATTTTTTCACATTAAATATTAAATTAAGTTATTTACTTATATAAAATTGTTAGATATTTAGAAACTTAAATAGTTTTCATCCTTTTAGGCCTGCAAATTTCACGCTAACTTCCCGTTAAGCTTAATGCCTACTCTTCAACTTCACATTGACTTCTCGTTAACTGCTACTATCACGTTGAATTTCCCGTTAACTATTTTTCTGGAACATATATATTAACTCAGGGATTTAGGATTAGATAGATCGATATAAATCACTTTATAACCTCACGATAGCGGCCAGAGTCAGATTCCTGGATTCGTATTGTATACCCAGATGATCCTCGAAAAAAAAAACAGAGTTACAAGTCAATTAATCAAATAAAGAATACAAGACTTACCGAATTTTCTTCAGGAATGCTAAGGTAAATACAACCAGGGTAATCTTTATTCGACCATCCAGTTAATATTTTGTCTCTCTAAAATTTAGATAGTGAATATCAGTTGTTGTGTTGAACCATTAGAGTACATAAATACTAGTAGCTTACTAATCTCTTGTAAATATATTTTATCGTTTTTAAAGCAGGTTTTGGCCCTCATAGCGGGTATCTTTTATATGTATTAATTAGTTTTATAGGTTAATTAAATTTGTACTACATATATTTAAAATCCTAACCTATGAACCACGTACTTGAGGGGCCACTACCATAATCATATTTAGAATTGCCCTGGTAAATATCACAAGAGACCCTATTTTTTTTGGTATATTCGCCATTTTAACCTTACAATCTAACATCTTTAAGAAGTGAGGCACGAGGTACGTATTTGGCGATTTGACGTCTGGACAGGGCTTGCAACTACCCGATCGCAAATTGTAGAAGAAAATAGAATAAAAGGAACCAAATACACCATATAGCCTGGCATTTTATTTTCATTATAACCCGACCCTTCCTGACTGAGCTTAGTAAACTTCCTTTTTTTATTAGTTATAATAAATAAATTTGATAACTAGTAAAAATTATATTTAATAACATATCGTGGGCTTACAAGCAAAAGACACTAAGTCAATTTTTTGGAAAAAAGGGTTTTAACGGCACTAAAATCAGTAACTGATGATCTATGTACAGCTAAATCGCACTAAGTCCTAAATGAGCAGCGAAGAGAGCTGCTCACTTGACAAAACGCACTAATTTGGTTTTGGTACAAATCGAATTTATGCAAAACGCATTAAGTCCCTTAGTGCTTATTACATTTCGTTGTCTCTTAAAAGTCACGTAGCAATATGCACTAAGTCACTTAGTGCGTTTTACTTGTACGTAACTTCAAACAATATGTTGTTAGCAAAATTAACACTGTGACTTAGTGTTTATGTGTTTGCCGACACGTGCATATCTGTCGTGTTTGTTCGTTTTCTTTTTATGTTTTGCAAGCAAAATTTAAACAAAAAATGTGTAGTCGGGGTGCTAAAATATTAGCCTTGTTGAAATATAACGAAGAGCAAAGAGAGGAACAATCAGGTAAGCAATAAAAAACAGTTGTTATTTATTTGAGGTTATGTTATTATTTCTAAAGATAATTGTTTTTAATTTTAATTTCTGGAATAATTTTTAAAAAAAAGTCTCTACCAGTCCGACGGATGGTTGTTAATTTTCTGTAATTTTGCCGGCGGACGGTTATATACCGAATGTAGTGGGTTTGATGAATGTAGTGGGTTTGATATTCCCCCTAGGGGCTCGATTCTCGAGATGTAGGAATCTTTTCCTAGAGGATTTATTGACATTTTTACACGTATATGCAAATGTCACGAATTTCCTATACATGTAAACCTGTCAAAAATTCCTATAGGAAACGATTCCTACGACTCGAGAATCGAGCCCCTGGTCGGCGAATTTTTTTTTTATTTTTGGGGGTAATATTAGCTAACCCGCAACAGACTGACCAGTAACCAAGACTCTTTATTTCCTCCCAGGGGTGCGTTAGGGCATTAGCTAAAAAAAAACTATTATTTTTTGTTTAGACTTTGTTCTCAATAACTTGTTCTTAAATACCTATTAAGTAAATGGCTTCTTAGGCTATAATAAAAAAATATAATATTGAAAACAGATTTACACATTTATTTGATCCCGTGTTAATCTGTTTTTTTTAAATTCGCGAAAATAAAATACGTTGTTAATAATATTTATATAACTAAGTAATGGTCTGTCGATTGTGGGTTAGTTTGTAGGCAAAGTATAAATTAAACGATTGCCGGACTACTTTTCCGACCAATATCAGAAAATTTATAGATACATAGGTAATCAATAGAATGCCTAATTGTTAAGTTTGTCGCTTACATAGAAACTTTTTGATAATAAGAATTATTATTGACTTTAGAACATTCATTCTTGACAACACTGCCAATGGTGTCCAAACGCATAGAGAATGAAGAAAATAATTCTCAAATGCCCGATGATGAGAGTATAATAATAATGGACCAAGGAAGATCGGAGATGAATAGTATCAAGCCGGCTACTTCTGTAAGCTATTTTTATTTGGTGAATTTTAGTTTTTTTACCTATGCATAATTTTTATTTTTCAGGACAATGAGCTGATAGAACTTCAAAATTTTTCAACAATGAGAGGCCCGCTATATGTATTAAACAACAGCGATTTAAATGTTCCAACCACCAGCACGTTTGAACAATATGAAGACAATTTTAGCGACTGTGATGATTCAATTATTGATAAAAACTATGAACCAAACATAAGCGATCTATCGGATGCTAGTTCAAATTTTGATATAGAACAAGAAGCAGAACATCAGACAGAGTTCGAAGAAATTAAACAAGAATAGTCTAAGAAAAAATGCAGTTGGAAAAAAGCAAGGCCTGAAAACTGGAAGCGACAAAAAAATAGAAAATTACGAGATGAATGTTTACCGTACAAAAATTCCAAAGGAATTGTTCAAGTGGCTAAGTTACCAAAGCCCGTGGATTGTTCAAAATGCAAATTAAAATGCACGGAAAAATTTTGTGAGGAAGAAAGAAAATCAATATGTAAGAAATATTGGATTTTGGCTTCGTATGAAAGAAAAAAAGACTTTATACTATACAATGTGACAAGTCATGTGCCCTCATCAAAACGCCCCCGTAAAGAAAATGCTAGAAGAAGGCAAAATTACAAAAATTACCATTTTAATAAAGATACCGAACAGTTACAGGTTTGTCAAAACTTCTTCATAAAAACGTTATGCATTTCAAATCGTGTAATATTGTCTGCCTTTGAAGGAAAAGATGAAATGGGCCATTTTAGAAGTATAGACAAGAGAGGAAGAAAACCTCCCGCTAATAAAACCAAACCTGAAGTTATTGCAAAAGTAAAAACTCACATAGAGAGCTTTCCCGCTATGGAGAGCCACTATACCCGCAAATCCAGTGAAAGAAAGTACTTGGACTGCAATTTAAGCATCACAAAGATGTATGATTTATACAAACAACAGCTACAACAGGGTGGTGACACAAAAATCGTTAGCCTAATTACTTATCGTAGAATATTCTGCGATAATTACAATTTATCTTTTTTTCATCCAAAAAAGGATCAATGTTTAATATGTTCAAGATATCAGCAAGCTAGTCCTGAAGAAAAACAACGCCTGCAGGTGAGTTATGAACATCATTTAAGAAGAAAAAACGAATCCCAACAGGCTAAAGCAGAAGACAAGGAGAGGGCAAAAGTGGATGAATCGTTCATGTCAGTAACATTCGATCTACAAAGTGTGCTGCAAATCCCGTCATCTGAGGTATCACTGACGTATTACATGAGAAAATTAACAATGTACAATTTGACCGTTTACGAGGCAGCACCGCCAAATAAAGCTTTTTGTTACTGCTGGACCGAAATAAACGGCAAGAAAGGAAGCTGCGAGATAGGAACATGCTTATTAAAATACATACAAACTTTGTCGCCACAAGTAAAGCATTTATCTTTATTTTCCGATACTTGCGGTGGCCAGAATCGGAATCAGCAAATTGTCGCTTTGCTACTCTATGCGGTTCAAAATTCTCACCTAGAAATTATTGAACAAAAGTTTTTGGAAAGCGGGCACTCATTTATGGAAGTTGACTCCATGCATAGTGCTATAGAGCAGCAAAAAAAATTTGTCTCGGTATATTGTGTCAATGGTTGGATGAACATTTTCAAATTGGCTCGTTATCAAAGAGACAGGAATAAAAACAAACCACCATACGAAGTAGAAGAGATAAAATTCGATCAAATGTTTGACCTTAAACAACTAGCTACCCACTTATTAAAAAATAAAACAATTGATGAAAATGGACAGAAAATAAACTGGCTTAAGGTTAAGAGCTTTAAATATATGAAAGATAAGCCAAATTACTTTCAGTACCGGTACGACCATAGTAGTGAGTATGTCGGCATCCAAATTTCAACTACTCGACGTGGAAGAAGACCAGTTCAAGATCAACCGTTTAAAGATGGCTTACCCAAACTATATCACGAAAACCTAAAAATTAGTAATGCCAAAAAAGAAGACTTGTTGACGATGTGCAATAAGGGGGTAATTCCAGTTTTTCCAGAGTATACAATCAGATAAAAAGGTAACAGATACATTGCCAGATGTAGACCTTCAAGACGAATCAGAAGAAGAACCATAATTTTTAAAACATACATAGTTTTTGTTTTTCTTTATTTTTCTGAATAAAAAATTAAGAATGTGATGAGTCTAATTGAAATTTGCTATTAAAACTCTACAAGTAAACTGCACTAAGTCAATGTTTTTTTTTTCAAATTAATTCGAATTAAGGTACTTAATTTTTTTTTAATTAATTTTAACCGATACATAAGTACCACCCAACATAAACGTTTAATTAACAGTAGTTTATTTTAAAATATAATTATTACAAATATTAATAATTAGGATTAAAAGTTAATTCTATCCATATCTCAAAATGATCTTTTATGACTTAGTGCTCTTTGCTTGTAAGCCCACGGTATGTTCCCTTTTCGTACCAAATATTTCATACCTAGTTTTTGATTTTTGACTCCAGAAAGAAATGTTTTTTTTTGTTGTTTCCTATATTTATATCTAAACTCAATCGGTACAGATTTGTTATGTTTATGCAATAAATTCAATATTAGTTACTAGTTACTAATAGTACAGATAGTAAGAATTAAATTAAAGAAAACAATATATTTTTTATTGTTATTAGTTTTTTAAAAAATATTTTGTAGAATTGGTGGTAATATTTTATTTTTTATTAAAAAAAATCTACAGGCTTGTTTTTATATGATCAGTAGAGAGCGGAATATATGCAAAATGCATATATATATATATATGCATATTTTACCAAAGTTCAGAAAATATTGCATATTTTTCCAAAATTCCGAAAAAATTGCATATTTTACCAAAGTTCAGAAAATTTAAGAAAATATTGCATATTTTCGAAAAAAAAAAAAAATGTATTACTATACTGTGCAAATCAAAAACTGTTTTAACAGATTATACAGATATATTTGAAATAAAGACCTTTTAAATTTTTGTATTTGTTTTTGAGTGTCACTTCTTGTAAATTCTTGATAAAGTATTACCTACAATGCAATAAAACGGTTTATATAAAATTCTCAGTAATTTCTTGTAAAAAATCTACCCTAACATCGGAATATTTTGAATGTTTTTCATTCAGTTTTAATGAGATAGTATCCTCGTTATTTGCCTAGTGAAAAGTCTTGTAATAATTTGTTGTTTTAAAAGTGTCCTAAAATGTCGAGAATTTCTTCGTGGATTATTAACTAACGCACTAACCACTGAGCTACCCACCCCCTACTTTTTTTTAAGTATTTTTAACAAATATGCAATTGCATATTTAGGCATAATTGGACAAAATAACTGCATATTTTTGGTAAAAACGATGCATATATATATATATATATATATATATATATATATATATATATATATATATATATATATATATATATATATATTTATAGGCCTTGGTGGCATCCCTCCATGTTAAAATTGCGTCTGCCGTGGCATCCACGTCCTCGTGGCATCCGATATACAGATGCCACGAGGACTTTCGATGAAACTCATCGCAAATGAAAGGATCCTACCCCTACTAACTCTCGGCAAAATATTGGCGGGATGCCAAAACACCCTATTTTTGTATGTTTTTAAACATGGTAGTTTGAGCAATGACCGCAACTGCCGCCACTTTCGTGTGCTATATATTCTGAGATATATTTAAAGGAGGTAATGGCATCCAATGATATACATATTTATTTTGAGTACCTGGTGGCCTCTGTATATTCCGTTTTCGGTTTGATGGCATCCATTTCGTTGTTGCCAGATCTTATATTGGTTTATAACTCAGCCTTTTCATTTTTATAGATTCTGTAACATACTTTCACTAGAATGAGGCGCCCTTGCGATTTACTTCCGAGAAAATAACATGTGTTTTTAAAGCTATTTTTATTATATCTTTTGAAATATACTGGTTAAATTAGGTACACTTATTCTGTCACTTTTTAAACTGTAATCTGTGAGGAAAACTTTTGTTTTGTATAAAAATTTACACAGATTTGTCTGCCAATGTTGATAAAATTAAAACGCTTTTAATCGTATATGGCATAAGCTATGAGAAATTAGCGGACAAACTGGGCGGCGATGCTTGAAAATGTCAATATTTTTATTCGCTGAAATCTTTGGTTTAGATGGACTTTAGTGTCATGAAATTTAAAAAATAAATAAAAATTATTATTTTTATTGAAAAAATCATTAATTCAGTTTAAAATATTATTTAAAACAAAATATAATTTTTATACCGATTAAACAAAACATTACGACTAACCAATGATTCAAAATATATTTTTTTCTTTTAAAGTCAGGTTTTTTGCCGCCAAACAACTATGGGAGCAGAGAGGGGAAAACACATTTAGCCCAAGATTACAAATACAATTCTTATACTACCAATTCAGTACACTACTTTCAATTAATTAAATCAAAATCATTAAATAGCAAGAACTCCAACATATAATTTTTAGGTCTTTAAAGTTATTCGTATCCGCCGATAAATATTATTCCATCAACTTTCCGTTTGAATTAACTTATTACCTGGAACGTTACATAGTAAGTCTGTTTTTTCTGCCTAGGCAGTAAAAATATATCTTTTTAGGTCTTTAAAGTGTCAATAAAAAGCCGCTTTGGGTACAAGAAACCAAGTTTTTTTTTTAAATATTTGAAAAATGACTAACTTTTAGTATCTGTATAAACGACGTGGAATCATTAATTTTCCTACGAATTTCTTTCAAAACTAAACATATTTACATGTTTTCTTTTCGTTACACCTGACAAATAATGAAACACATCAAACCTTTTTTGTGAAAAACAATTATATTTTTTAAAAAAATATACCTTTATCGCGAGATATAGCGGTAAGTTACAAAATTAAACATATTTTATTTCAACGATTTTGTTGAAAAATCTAGAAATTGTTCAGGTAAACAGTTCCCGAGGTAAGGCCAAACTTTATTCTTGTGTTATTTAAAAAAAAAATTATTCCATTCTATGACTACCAGTTAACACAAACTTTTTCATAAATTTAAATAATTTTTCAAAAAATCAAAGAAGCGACATTATACTTTCCAATTATACAAGGTTCTCCAAGAAAGTGATACATATCAAAGTTTTCCAAAATGGGACACCTTGTATTTCATATATTTGAATTTTCCTTGCCTTTCTTATTATAACAATAAAATAGTCTGTGATTATACAGGGTATTTACCACGCTATAACCAGTTTTATATAAAAATCGTACTGATTTCAAAGACGTGTATAGTGCAAAATAAACATTTGAAAACCATTTTTGTGCAGTAAAAGGTTTTCATTATTAGTCAAAAAAATTTACCGATGTACTACATTTTTAATTTTAAACAAATCTTTATAGGGTACGTCAATACAAAAAATTTTGTAACTTTTTCTATTTGGGACAAATCTATTGAATTCGTTTAATATTATTTTTATTTTAAACAACATTTTTAATAGATAAATGTTAAATTGTCATTTGTTTTATTATGCAAAAAAGCACAAGATTTAATGTCGCGGCTGGTGTTTCATAGGCGAAGCGTAGCTAAGACTAGAAAACCAGCCAAGGCATTAGGAGAAAAAATTATATGTTCCACACAGCAGAAAATTAGATATAATGCCTTGGCTGGTTCCCTAGTCTCAGCTTGGCTTCCGCTATGAAACACCAGCCACGGCATTCAATCTTGTGCTTTTCTGGCTAATAAAACAAATGACATTTTCACATGTATTTATTTAAAATAAGAATAATATTATACGAATTCAATAGATTTGTCCTAAATAGAAATAGTTACTAATTAGAAATTAATAAATTGAAATAATATTTTACCAAATATTTACAACATTATTATACTCTTCACACACAGTAGTCTGTGAAGAGTATTATATGTTTACTTTTGTCCGTCTGTCTGTCCGTCCGATGTCACGTTTTTTGTCCGCACGATAACTCAAAAACGAAACATGATATCTTCTTGAAATTTATAGAAAAAATCAAACTCTATAAGGGGACAAAGCCTATTGATTTTGAAAAAATCGGAATAAAAATGAGGGGTTTAAGGGGGGCCTGAAACTTAAAAAAAATTATAAATCATTTAGGAAAAATAAAGTTCTATGAGAGGACGAGGCCTAATAATTTTTTAAAAATCTGATTAAGAATAGGGGGTTATAGGGGAGTTAAAACTTAAAAAAATCATAATTTAAAAACGAAATATGATATAAATTTGAAATTTTCAGGAAAATCAAGCTTTATACGGGAACAAAGACTATTTTTTTTTTTAAATAAATCTGATTAAAAAGGGGGGTTTAAGGGGGGGTTAAAACTTTAAACAAATCATAAATCAAAAACGAAACATGATATTAACTTGAAATTTTAAGGGAAAATCAAGTCCTATAAGGGGACAAAGTCTAGTGAATTAAAAAAAATTAATAAAAGTAGGGGTTTAAGCGGGGTTTAAATGTAAAAAAATCATAAATCTAAAACGAAACATGATACCAACTTGAAATTTAAAAAAAAATCAAGCTCTATGAGATGACGAAGTCTCTTGATTTTTAAATAGATCCGATTAAAAATGGGGAGATTGGTGGGGGGTTGAAACTTTAAAAAAATCATAAATCAAAAACGAAACATGATATCAACTTTTAATTTTCAGGAAAAATCAAGTCCTATTAGAGGACGGAACCTATTCAATTTTTAAAAAATCTGAATAACAGTAGGGGGTTAAGTTGGGTTAAAATTAAAAAAAAAATCATTCATCTAAGAGAAGTATTATATCAACTTGAAATGTTTAATAAAAATCAAGCTCTATAAGGAGATGAAGCCTATTAATTACTTAAAGAAAAAAATCTAAATAAAATTGGGAAGCCTATTTATTCCCAAAAAAAATGTTTATAAAAAAATCGCTGGTTAAGAGGGTCTGTTAAACTGTGAAGAGTATAATATAGAATGCCAAGCATTATATATCCTCATTCTAAATTTAAAATTGCTTTATTGCTCTTTATTTTATGTATACGAT